ATTTTTGGGTGAACTATTCCTTTAAGAACAGACATCATGAATCCTCTTTTATTCCAGACAATAGCATCCTTTCAACAGGATAAAGATTTGCTCCTTTTCAGTTGCGCAATGGGACTTTAATAAGTGCCCTGCCCAATTCAAAGACCTTCTATATCTTACTTTCCTCTTCTACATCTTGAAATGTCTACAATAGGATCCAGATGTTGAAACAGATGTTGCCTGGTTACTACCCACTGCCTTTTCATTCATTGTGAAGCTATGTGCAACTTAAGGAGAGAGAGGGACCTGCTGGGATATGGTAAGAGTGCAGGATTAACTCTCTAACATCACTGTACCTTTCACCAGTTTTTGCATTCCAGCTTAATTCTACCTTTCACGGGTTGGGACGGGTCTCCATAAGTGTAAAAGGACAGCCAGATGATGTGCATTACCTGAGGGGGCGGCCTAGTTTAACAGGGTGTAAAAGATCCCTCAAAGTCATGAAGAATGGAGATGAGATATGTCCATCGAAAAGAAAGAGTTAAATGTCTCGAAGCTACCTGCAACTGTTTGGAGGGTGTCATATTTGCCAGTGGCCCCCACCTCCCGAGGCTCCACAGACCCTCACTACACAAAGAAAAGAGTAAGAAAATAGAGAAAAAAGTGCTGTGCTAGCAATAAGTAACCAATGCATGTTTGCGGAAAGACAACTCTACACGTATCTTTCGAACTTCTATACACACCCTCTTATTCAAGCTCACCAGCTGATGTCAAAGGTTTGGCCTTGGGGAAGTTACACTACCAACAATAGTAATTTAATAAGGCTGTGTCTTCTGATGCACGATGCAGGCCAGAAAGAAAGTGGGAGAAACTGCAGACTGGACTCAAACTGGAGAGGAGAGCAGGCGGACCAAGAGATTGACTGCAACCGCAAAACCAGAACCAGACACTTCGCCTCCACCTGCACAAAACAAAATCAGCTCTATGACTGAGATGAGCAGGTAATATTTTTCATTTATTTGTACTTTATGTGATGGTGATGCAATAAGGAAGTGGGTGGTGGGTGTGGGGGTTCATGGTTTTTCTATAGTTGAGTATTGAGATATTTTAAACGCCACTTCCTTGTATTTTCCGTATACTTTCTCATTTTCTGTCTTTGTATAAGATAATGAATTTTGTATTTTAATTGAAATTGGGGAAAAAATTTTAATCGTAATAGCTAGCAACAGTCTCATGAACTTGAAATGTATATGTATTACGTATGTACTGGCATCTAATTAATAGCTTGTGTGATATAACACAAAAGTGCCAAAAAGTAAAAGTGTTAGACATTCACCATAATAGCACCATGATATTTTTGAAATACCATGGTATAGATCAAAATACCATGGTATGACCATATCACCCCTGTAGCATGGTACCAGGACAGTTTGATTTGAAAGGAAAGTCCTAGATTTTGCTTGTGTAAGCATCGGAGGAGGTGTGTTATAATGTGCAATTAATTATTTCAACTTCAATTAGTTTATCTTTTTGTAAAGATAGCATTAATGGATGCTCTAAATGTAAATTCTACTGATGATAGAACTAATGCAGCTTTTTGATGTTGGCCAAAACAATTAGACGATATAAAACATTTCATTAGAGATTTCTGTTCAAATCATGTTTCTTAGAAGCATAAAGATGTGAAATTGGACAGTGGACATTTGGACGGCACACTAGCCACAGAGCTAGAGCCAAATATGGAACTGTGTGTAATTAACATAACTGGCTGAGACACAATGCCCCAAACAGGAAATTAAACCTCTTTGAGAGCATGTGTTTTCTTTTAGGTGAAGCATAAAATTTG